GAAGCCTGGGTGAGGCGGGGTTTGGGGAGGGGAGGGGCCTCAGCAGGGTAGAATGTTCCTCCATGGAACCGGCTTCCTCAGGAGGTGGTGGGCTCTCCTCCTTTGGTTTTTAAGCAGAGGCTGGATGGCCACCTGATAGCAATGCTGATCCTGTGAACTTGGGCAGATCATGAGAAGGGAGGGCAGGGAAGGTTGCATCAGGGCTTAGTTCTCGTGGCCCTTTCTTACACGCCCAGGGAAATGCCGGTCACCACTTTGGGGTCAGGAAGCAATTTTCTCCAAGCCAGTTTGGCCAGAGATCCTGGAGGGGTGGTTTTTTTGTTTTGTTTTTGCTATCTTGTGGGCATGGAGCAGGGGGTCACTGGGTATGTGTGGGGCGGGAGGTATTTGTGAATTTCCTGCATTGGGGGGGGGTTTGGACTAGATGACCTGGGAGGTACCTTCCAACTCTATGATTCTATGATATTGGGGAGGGCAGTATAAAAATCTTAATAATAATAGTAATAGTAATAATAATAATAATAATAATAATAATAATAATAATTTTATTCGGGTTTCTTTTATCCTTCTAGAGGTGTATTTGATGCGTCTCTCAAAATGGCTGGGTTCTATGGACTGTACACCTGGCTGACTCATACCATCTTTGGAATTAACATTGTTTTCATACCCTCTGGTGAGAACTAAAAGTGGCGGTGTTGGGGTTGTTTTGGCACAGTATTCACTTTTAGTACTGGATATTTTAAGCACAGGATTTTATATAGGTACTTAGAGGATTGGGGTAAATGTACTAAGAGTTCTGTTTACCATTCTGGAAATGCATTTGCATTATGCTTAATATATAAAAATGTTTCTTCCTAGCCTGAGACTAATCTGTATAGGCAGAATAAAATGAATAATGAATAAAAAATGAATAAAATTCTTAGGAATTCCTAAAGTGACAGTCTGAAACACATTGATTTCAAACAGATTTCATTTCTGCAGATGTAGATGTTGGTTACATTTTCTCTGGTTTTGTGCGAGAAAGAAAAATGTCGTTCTTTTGTGTGTGTTTAAAAACTGCTTCCTAACAAGGTGGCTTGATGTAAATCAAGGCAATCTACATTACCAAGGGAAAGGTCAGATGTAAATTAATTGATTTAAATAAATGTTTATGTTTAGGTGCTTCTAAATAAAAGCTCATACTAAATGTTGTTGTAACCATAAAGGTATGCAGATTTAAAACTGATTTTTATACAACGTCCAGAGGATTGAGTGTATTGAGTGTTAACTATTTAACAGTATTTGTGCTGCATTAGAAAATAAAATGCCCTGACCTGGATAGTCCATGGTAGCCTGATCTTGTCAGACCTCAGAAGTGAAGCAGGGCCAGTCCTGGCTAGTATTTGGATGTGAGACCATCAAGGAATACCAGGGTTGTGAGGTTGAGGCAGGCCATGGCAAACCACCTCTGAATGTCTCTTGCCTTGAAAACCCTAAGAGGTTGCCGAAAGTTGGCTGTGACTTGGTGGGGAAACAACACAATTTATTGTATATTTTTGGGTAACTGAATGCTCATGACCCCCAGATTGATGTGGGGGGCGGCGGTCTCTTCTAGAGCCATGATGGGTTTTTACCGAGAGATGCGGGTTCGAATCTTCTTTCCAGGGTCCCTTCCTGCTTTTGTTGACTCCTTTTTTTTTGTCACATAACTGTCGTAGCCCACAGAAATAAACCACCTCAGTCAGTAGTAAGAGCTGGTAGGAGGTCCAGAGTGGAAGCCCCCCCCCCCCCCCCCCCCCCCCCCGCTGCCTACCCCTACTATCCAAATGGCATGAATGACCATTTCCCCAGGGTTTGTTCTTTACAAAGAAATAGCATCTTTTCATAAGAGGGTCATAGGTTTCGTTAGAAGACCATAAAAGCATCCAAACAGCTAAAACAATTTTCAGTGACATTAATTCATCACGCAGGAGCACAAAATCAATAAAACATTCTGGTGAAAAACCCAGAGGCCTTTGAAAGAAAACCACTCACTAGGTGGATATGAGCGCCTAGTATGGGGCCACCTTCTCCACATTATTCGTCTGCATTGTTGGTTCCCGACGCAGTGGTGTTCAGAGTTCAAGATGTCCACTCTAAAAGCCAAGGTGCCTTCCATGGAGATAGATCAAGATAGGTAGCCATGTTAGTCTGTCTGTATTGTCTGGATCCATGGCAAAGAAGCCCTCGAGAGATTCCACCAGGTTTTCCACAGCTTCCACCCCCGCATTGATCTAACTATGAATTACTCTACACAAGAAATAAACTTCCTGGACACTCAGTACAGATGCAGAAAGGACACACTAGTGCCACATTATACTGGAAAGCAACAGATCGGCAAACGTGTCTACATGCCTCCAGCTACTACCTCAACCACATCAAAGAATCCATTGTCCCTACACTATAGTCACCAAAGCCCTACACCAAAGCCCTACACTATAGTCAAATCTGCTCCAACCTCTCAGACGGAGATACACACTTGAAGGATCTGCAACAGGCATTTTTGCAACTACAATATCCTCCTGACATGGTGAGAAAGATGACTGGAAAAGCCAGAATGATACCCAGGGACAGCTTGCTACAAGACAAGCCCAAAGAAAATGACAACAGAACACCACTGGTGGTCCTCTACAACTCCTAACTCAAGCCAGTTCAATGCGTCATTAATGACCTACAACCCATGCTGGATAGTGACACTTCCCTTACACAGGCACTGCAGGGGATTGACCTTTTCTTGCTCACAGACAGCCTGCTAACCTAAAACAACTTCTCACCTGACAGACTACGTGGACTGTGGTACCAGGTCCTGCAACAAACTATGATGCCAACTTTGCTCTCATATAGATCCTAGCAACACCATCAGTGGACCCAACAACATCAGATAGACCATCTCGGGTTCATTCTCCTGCTCGTCCTCTAATGGGATTTATGCCATCACATGTCAAAAATGCCCTTCTAACCCTCTACACTGGACAAATAGGCCAGTCCCTTTGACAAAGAATTAATGGACATAAGTCTGACATTAGGAACCACAACATTCAAAAACCAGTGGGGGAATATTTTAACCTTCCAGAATATCCAGAATTGACCTAAAAGTAGCAGTTCTCTTACAAAGGAATTTCAAAGGGAGATTAGAGAGACTGCTGAATTGCACTTGATAGTGGAAAGATATACCACTATCAATGATGGGTAAAATAGCAACATTAAAGATGAATATACTTCCTAGATTCTTATTTCTAGCACAAAACATCCCCATGTTAAAAAACTTGAAATTCCTAACGGAACTAGACAAAGTGACCAGAAAGTTTATCTGGCACCCTAAAAAAGCTAGAATAAAGTGGAAGGTGTTACAAGATAGAAAAGAAAGAGGAGGAATGAATGTACCAAATTGGAAATTATATTATCAGGCGGCGGCGCTAGTGTGGGTTAAGGAATGGATAATTTTGGAAGACAGCAGAACATTGTCATTGGAAGGTCATGACCTATATATGGGGTGGCATTCTTACATTTGGTATGATAAGGATAAAGTGCACTCCATATTTAATCGCCATGTATTAAGAAGAGCTTTAAACAAGGTCTGGAATGAGATAAAAGAAAGATTTTACAGGAAAACTGCTAGATGGGTAGCGCCGTTGAAGGCTTTTGTAATGCCATCGCTTTTGGTAAAAGAGAAAATGGTTAGTTACAATACATTATTAGAAAAGAATAATGTACTAAAAACAAGAGAAATTAAGAAAGGAACATCAAATCATATTAACATGGGGGGAGCGCACCCTTCTACAAGATAGATACGGTAGAGATAAAACAAGGGGTTTTGAAGATATAAACAATCAGTTGGATAAAATATGGCTGTCATCCAGTGATAAATTAATTCAAAAACTATACAGGTTCTTGTTAGAAGAATATGAGTTAGACGAAAATGTTAAATCAGTTATGATATCATGGATGCAAGATATGGGAAAACAGATAGAAGATGAGCAATGGGACTCTATATGGCATTCTACTAAGTTTTTGAGAGCTATTGCGTATAAAGAAAACATTTATAAAATGTATCACAGATGGTACTGGTCCCCAGATAAAATTGCTAAATGTTATCCTCAAGCATCCAATAGATGTTGGAAATGTAAAAAAAATGTGGGGACGTTCTACCATATGTGGTGGAAATGTTGTAAAATATGTAAGTTCTGGAAAATGGTGCAAAAAATCATCTGTGAAATATTAAATATAGAGATCGAGCTTTCGCCGGAAATATATCTATTGAATATAATCCCAAGAGGGTATAAGAAACAAGATAAATATTTGATAGCATATATAGTAACTGCGGCTCGTATATTAGTGGCAAGAAATTGGAAGACCGATAGGGTACCAACAAAAGAGGACTTATCTATTAAATTCATGGAGTTAGCACAAATGGATAGTCTGAGTCTGATACTACGAGATAAAGACCAAATATGTCAAGAACAACGGTGGTTTAGGGTATATGAATGGTTAGATCGTCAAATGGACGGATAAGGATATATAGTGGTTTCTATAATGTATTAAGACGGAAATATGAACGTTCAACTCTAAAAATTTGTGTAATCTAACACGATGAAGTATGAAATGTTATGAAAAACTTTTCAAAAATAAAAGCTTAAACAAAAAAAAAGATAATGAAGCTCAAGACAATACATCCACCTGGACTAAATCGAGACCTAGGTTTTCTGTCTCATTACCAGTGCTGATTTCTCCACACTTATTAGCCCTCTGCATCTCTCACCTAAACCCAAACACGCCTGCTATTGTCATTTGGCATCTGAAATCACTCCACTTTCCAACAAATAGGACAGGTGGACTCCCATTCTAGCTGTATCTGAAGAAGTGAGCCGTGACTCACAAAAGCTCATACCCTGCCACATATTTTGTTATTCTTTAAGGTACCACTGGACTCTTGCTCTTTTCTAAAAGCCAAGGTGTTAGAAAACTTTCCAGTCTCCAGTCAAATAATCCTGTAGGTTTAAATGCAACCGTGTGCTTAGAAATGAGCATAGATTTTTGCAGGAATTCATTTCTAGTGGAATAGCTGTGTCTTAAATTTCTAACCGCCTGTCTTGTTCATCCTCAGCTCTGGCAGCAATACTTGGCGTTGTCCCCTTTCTGGGAACGTACTGGGCAGCCGTACCTGCAGTCCTCGACCTCTGGCTTGCACAAGGAGAAGGATGTAAAGCTCTGCTCCTCTTGGTGTGCCATCTGTTGCCAACATATTTTGTAGACACAGCAATTTATTCAGATATATCCGGGTAAATGTTTTAATATAGCTTTTGGCCTATGTTAGGAAAGGCCCTGCTGAGATATTAATAATGCCTCTAAGACTAATCGTACCATTTTATCTATCGATGCAGGATGCTGGGGCTGGTTGTGTGATATTTTCATAGGACTGTACACGTAGGCTGTGAGCCCATGTTGTGCCCATTGCATGAAAGTGGTGTACCTTCACATACATGAGCCACATATTCAGCCAGTCAGCTGATGTTGGCTAGTATATTAAATGTTTTTAGTAGGTGATTTTCTAGTTTGTAGTGTATACCTGCTGCAAACCTCTTGAGCCTGTTTTAATAGAAAAAGGCAGTCTAAAAGCATTTTAATAAAAACACACGGTGTGCAGAGCTTCCGCTGAACAGGCCACAAAGCTCTCACCAGACTGCATAAATGTTAAAGTTATGACAAGACATTGACGTATGAATAATACCTAGAGCTGCTTTTTCTGTTGAACGCTTACATTTTCATGACAGTTTGTAATGGGGCTAGTGTGTAATGGAGTTTGTAATGGAGTACTGTGTACAGTTCTGGTCACCACACCTCAAAAAGGATATTATAGCATTGGGGAAAGTGCAGAAAAGGGCAACTCGAATGATAAAAGGGTTGGAACACTTTCCCTATGAAGAAAGGTTAAAGCACTTGGGGCTCTTTAGCTTGGAGAAACGACGACTGAGGGGTGACATGATCGAGGTTTATAAGATTATGCATGGGATAGAGCAGGTAGAGAAAGAGGTACTTTTCTCCCTTTCTCACCGGAAGTACTTCACCCAAAGAGTGATTAACACATGGAATTCACTGCCACTGGAGGTGGTGGCGGCTACAAGCATGGACAGCTTCAAGAGGGAACTGGATAAACATATGGAGCAGAGGTCCATCAGGGGCTCTTAGCCACAAGGTATAGATAGGAACTCACAGGCTGGGGCAGGTGATGCTCTGTCTTCTTGGTGCTTGGGGGGGGGGTCAACAGTGGGAGGGCGTCTAGTGTCCTGGCCCCACTGATGGACCTCCTGATGGCACCTGGTATTTTTGGCCACTGTGTAACAGAGTGTTGGACTAGATGGGCCACTGGCCTGATCCAACATTGGCTTCTCTTATGTTCTTATGTTGGGGAATACCCCTTGATTTGGTGCCATAAACAAACGCTAGATTTTTAGGTTCTGAATAGTCTGCAAGAACAGAAGTCTGCTTGGGCAGGGATATGAAAACTGCAGCAATTTGAATTTGGTGTGTTGTCATTACAGCGGTGGGCATCCGTACTTGACTGGGCTGGCCGTAGCAGGCGGAGCGTATTACCTGGGGCTGGAAGGAGCCATCATTGGACCCATTCTCCTCTGCATTCTTGTGGTTGCCTCTAACATCTACAGCGCTATGCTCGTAAGCCCGACCACCCCGTCACAAATGTCTTGGCCCTTGCAAATATACAGGTAAGCCGCTGCCGTCATCACCACGAATGACCACCACCTTAAAACTGTGTGTTGTTACTTTGCTGTCATTCATGTACTGTGGGATGGGCCCTTTGGTGGAGGCAGTAGGGCACTGTGGGGGAAAGAGATCACACCCCAGGCAGAGCCAAGGGCAGTTTCTTCAAAGCAGCAGAGGTGTAGCATCTCAGCCACCCGGGATATTTTGGGAACCGTAAAAGCTTCAGTGAGGCAGGGGAACGTAGGAGAACCTATGGGAACTTCTGGCCACAACAACCCCTCCCCCCCCCGCTCCCTGGCTTATTTTAGAGCAGAACGGCCCATCTCCTTCCTAAGGCCCCAGTGTTCCGTCCGGGCCCAGTCCACAGGTCCTGTACATGATTCACCTGAGTGCTATATAGGTCCATGTATACATTGATTCTCAATATTTGCCCGCCAAAGGGGCAGCTGCCACTGAGTTGGGAGACTCCAAAGTGCAGTACGTCTAGAGAGGGCGAGCAGAGTGCGGACTTTTGACATGACCAACTGTGCCACACCTGCCATGCTTACTTTGTTGTCCTCGGCCTCCACGGTACTGAGCTCCTCACTTGGGCAGGGCTTCCACCATTCGGAGAAAACCTTCTTGCCTTTTATAGCTTTTCTCAACTCTGCTTATGGAGTCCACACCTTTCCTGATTTGTGGTGTGCATTCATTCTGTCTGAGCTTCTGTTGTAGTGATTTTAAATCTGTTTCTGGAGAGCGTGTGGTTAATACTGACGATGGATTGTTTTCATCCAGCTTTTTTGCTCAGTCTTGCCTGATTCCCCTCTGTCTATTTATTTTTCACATGTATATCCCTCCCATCCCGTAAATGGGCTCAGGGTGGTTCACCGCAGCCCCCGTGGCTTTTGTACGCACAGATCCCGTGACTCCCGGCCTGACCTTTTTGAGAGGTTGAAGGGATGGGATGCCCCCTTCCTTTTTGAGCAGCTGAAAAGCTGGGTGGATCCAACTCTACAGTTTCTCATGATATCCAGTTCATTCAGGGTGGCCCAGAGAACTTGCTTTTTCGGGATCCTCCCCTGATGACTCACCAGGAGGGACTGTGACACTTCAGCCTCTCCAGAGAGGAAGTTTAAAGGCAGCAAGACAAACGGACCTGGCTTAAGCACATGCTTTTGTTCAGTTGAACACAGGGAAAACTGCTCCACACAGAACGTTCTTGCAGTCGAAAGCAGTTGAGACTCTGCCTGCTGCCCTAACACCCTCCCTTATACCTCAAAAGGGAGTGAGTGGCCATGATTGTGTGTTTCTTCCCAACTCTTTGTTTTCTTTGAGAGTAAACAGAATTGGGAAGTGTGACAGCACGGTGGGTGGGGCGCAGGGTTTGAGGGCAATCCATTTCAGAGCAAAAAGGTTTAGGGAGGGAGTGCGATGAAGCTACTAGATAAGGGGAGGCGGCAGAGAATCCTTCAAAGAGAGGAGGACGCTTGGCGTTTCTTGAGCTCCCTCTCCCAGCAAGCGGGCTGCGTTTGGAGTGAGGCTTTGCCCAGGGCTTGGCTTTGGACAGCAGCGGGGGCATCCTGAACGGAGGAGACGAAGTAGGTACGCTGACTAGTGGCCGTAGAGCTGTAGTTTGAGTTGAGATGCAGTCTGGAGATGAAATAGATCCAGGCGGGCAGCCATGCTGGTCTCTGAATCGATAGAACAATGTTTGAGTCGAGTGGCCCTTTTACTACCAACAAAGCTTAGCCCTGGGGTACAAGCATTATCTGAAGAAGTGCGTGTGCACACGGAAGCTCATACCCAGAATTAAACTTTGTTGGTCTTCAACGTGCTGCCAGACTCAAACTTCGTTCTGGAAATGAAATACTCTCATCTCTGTTTTTGTGAGTGGAGAGTTTGGTGGCCTCAGTTACCTTTATTTCTTGTCTTGTAGGCAACCAAGAGAGTCTCCTGAAGAACTGAAAGTCACCACAGAGTGACGGGCGCAGCGTTTCCTTCCGTTCCTGTTTCCTCCGTGCACACTGAGCTCCAGAGAGCCGTGGCCGTGGGTCCCGTCTCCAGCTGTGCCTCACGACAGCATTGAAGCCACATTCACTTACAAGCATATCAACGGAAACAATAACGTTGCCTTTGGTCGCTCTGCACTTTGCCTTTGCCAAGCGGACGTGTGTCTGCTATCCATAGTTTGCTTATTATGCAAGCCGACCTAGGATGGGGGGCAGTACGTTGGCTTGCCGAACTTGCATTTTTTCCCCCTACAAAATATTTTGAGTCAAGTTTGGTTTGTTTGTTGAGATTTTCTAATTTAGTATTTATACTTTTGGTTCTATAAATAAACAGATTTTGAAAGTTAAATCCCACCTCTCTTGCTCTTAGAATGCTCACGTCACAAGGAAATCCGTTTCTTGAACAGATGTTATGCCATTAAAGCCTAGCATCTGCCCAAGCCAAGTATAGTCTTGAACTGGTCTTTGAAGAGTTTCTCAATGGCTGCTTTTGGAAACCGGTGACACTTCCTGTATGTACACCAGCAACACTGACCTCATGAGCTTGTTGTACGTGGCCACTGGCTGCATAGCAGAAAACTGAGGTATGTTCAATATTTTCTCGGAGGGGGTTTGCTTACAACACTGGTTCCCAAAGTGGGCAACAACACCCCCTGGGTAGCGCTGGAACGATCCAGGTGGGCCGAAACGACGTAGCATCTTTTTGTTCACTTCTTGAAGGTAGATTTCCGGGGGGGGGGGGGGGGCTGTGTCTTTTTTTTTTTTCTGAAAAGGGGGCGGTAGGCCAAATAGGTTTGGGAACCTCTGGCTTAGAACAACGTTGTTGCTTTGTCATACAGTTTTAGTTTGGCAAATGGTTACACCAATTCGTCCCAATATACCTGTGTAACCATTTGCCAAAACTAAAACTGTGTGAGAATATCAGCCTTCCCATGCTGTTGAGCCTCCCCTCCCCAGCCAGGCAGGAGTAGATGCTACAGGAGAACTAGGAGCACTAATAGTGGGATTTGATGGGCCAGCAGAGGTCCGGTGCCCCCCTTGGGGGGGGGGCTATGAGAGCAGGAGGACACGCTGCATGAAATAGGCTTGGACCTTCCTGGTGGACTTGAGAATATCCACGGCCACATCAGCCGCGTGGGTGAGCTTTTGGCCTGGCTGGAGATCTTGCTCCAGGCCATTGCTGGGGCAGCGTGTTCCTTAGCCAGCCAGCACCCCCTGTTGTGCCTCCTCTTTGGCCCCCGTAAATCATTCTCTTTAGCAGAAGTCTTCTCATTTGTCAGTTTGTTGCCATCGTGAAGTAAAGTTTGATCTTCAACGTGGTCTCTGTGCTTCACACCCATGGGATACAGTGCGCATGTGCTGGATCAATTGGCATTGTAGCAAGCACTTAATGGATTTTCGCACCCAGACCTCGGGCATGTGCAAGAACCCCACCACGCATGCCCAGAGGGGTGGGCGCAGACATCCCACCAGTTCCTTTCTTTCCGCCGCGCTGGAAGCACCTTCGTTTTGTCGGTCTGATCGGTAGCTATTTCTCCTCAGAGGCTCTTCGGATATCTCTTCAGTTTTCTTCATTTTTCGCTTCTACCTTTGTTGTTTTCGTTCTTCAAAAAAAAAAAAAGAAGACTTTGTTTAGGGGGAAGCTTTTTTGTTTACCTCACTCAGGCCTTCGGGCTTCCCCCCCTCCCCCCTTTTTTTCCCTCCGTTTTGCTTATTTTATGGAGAAGAAGTGGGGCTTTTTCAAGCGTTGCAAGGGTTGCGGCAGTAAGCTCGCTCCACCTGACGGCCACACCCTTTGCATTTTTTGTCTTGGCGAGGCACATAGGCCAGAATCCTGTCAACAGTGTGCCAAGTTTTCCGATCAAACTAGAAAAAAACGAGCGGTGCATCTCCTGAGTAGCGTTATTGGAGTCAGCGCTAAATCCCGCTTCAGTCATGGACTCAGAAGTGCCGGTAAAACCATCAACATCGATGGCTCCGGTATCGAAGCCTTCGTCCGACATCGTCCAGTCAACATCGAAGCGTTCGGCACCGACGGCACAGTCTTTGGCATTGACGCCCGTGAAAAGGAAGCAGAGGTCGGGTAAAGAGCACAAGTTGGCCAAAAAGGGCTCCTCTAAGGCCCTAAAGGTGGCAAAGTCTGGGAACATAGTGGGCACTGCACCGGGTAATGCCCCTAATGTGCCCCCTGCTCCAATGGCAGTAACGGCATCGGAGGCTCCGGTTGCTCCACCAATACCGACCATCCAGCTAATGGACTCGCCCGTACACCAGCTAGACCATGACACGCTGGTCAATATGCGTCCTTTCTCCGACATCGATAATGTCGAGATCCTCAGTCATCCCCTGGGCATGGATCGCTCTCCCTCTGCTGAGTCATCGACATCGACGGTCTCGGAGTGCCATGCCGATATCGATGTGGCTCAACATCATCCTCCCCGTCTGTTCGCCGAGGATCGGCCTTTCGATATCAATGATCGGGCTAATAGGGGCCGCACACAGAGATGAAATCCTACACTGTCTCAAAGATGCTCCCACTCTAGGAGTAGATCCCTACGAGTCTTCCTGCCACCACCTCCTCCTCTCTCCTGGGATCACCGCCAACTGCGTTATCTCTATGGAGGTTATCCACCCGCATCCATGCCGTGGTTGACTCCAGCAGGTTACTCTGATTGGGATCGTTACTCTACCCACCAATCACGGTCACCCTATAGATTGAGGCCTTCGGCATCTCCCGTCCACCAGATCATCCATCTGATGACCCTCCTCAACATTGACCGGATCAATATTGTCCTCCCAGTCCCCCTACCCAACGTCAACAGATCCAACCAGTCAGGTCAAGACCACTCCGGTACAAATACCAGAGGCCGATTCCTCTGACTCTGTGGTTGAGGATTCAGATACAGGAGCTTCAGATGTGCACAGCTCCCCTAACCAGCCATCTCTTAACCAGGCAGTAGCCGATGACCAACCTATATCTCCATCTGATAATTTAACCTCCTATGGAGACCTTATAAAAAGAATGGCACACTCCCTTGGCCTTTCTGTCGTACAACCACAGGTTACTGATGGCATCTTCGATGTCGTGCAGCTAGATACATCAACGGCTATAGCACTACCCATGTCCACGGTCCTGTTACAGGCAGCTAAAGCTCCATGGGATAAACCGTCAACGGCTCCAGTGTCCACACGTCGCTTGGACCATATGTACAGAGTCCAAGAAACAACCAAACTCCATGGTAGTCACTTCCTCATCCAAGTCTAGAGAACACATTCTACATCTTCGGACAAGGAGAGCAGAAAGTTAGATGCATTCGGACGACGTTTCTACTCTACGGGAGCGCTAGGAGTAAAGACCACCAATTACTTCGCGTGTATGAGTAGATACCAATACACTTTGTGGGAAAGGCTTTCTGAACTTCTGGCTCACCTTCCAGAAGACAAGCATCAGGCAGCCCGCATCATCCAAAAGGAGGGCATGGTGCTGGCAAAGCAACAAATTAATACCTCCGAACATGCCCTAGACACTTGCTCAAGGACAATGGCTTCAGCCATAGCTCTCCGAAGGCATTCCTAGCTACGTAACACCAATCTACAGCCAGATACTAGGTCATACGTAGAGGACCTCTCCTTTGATGGCCTTGGTCTGTTTAACAGTACTACAGACACCATATTACAAGATATGGATAAAAGCATAAAAGCTTCTCGTGCTCTGGGCATTTCCTCATCCACGAGGCAGCATTACCAACCTCATCCCTGGTCCAGACCCTGGCAAAAATGCACCCCAAACTGTCAATCTCCTGACTGGCAATGGAGGCCACGTATATCCTCTGGAGGCCAGAAGCCCACATTTCAGAAACCTGGATTTGGATCAGGACAACTGTCTTCCCGCAGTAAGCAGGTGAAGTCCGCCAAGCAGGGTTTTTGACTTCCATATCTCCCAGTCACATCCGTCTAACCCCTTTCCTCCAAACCTGGCACCTCATCACCACAGACGAATGGGTGCTGTCCATCCTGACCCAGGACTACCGCATAGAATTCATTTAGAACCCCATCACTCCTGTCTTCGTCTCCACACCCTCTTCTCCAGCCCTCCTGGAAGAAGTGTCCGTCCTTCTGCAAAAGGGAACCATCGAGCTGGTGTCACTGCATCTACAGGGCAAGGGATTATATTCCCACTATTTCACTGTTCCGAAGCAGGACGGAGGCGTTCGACCAATCTTAGATCTACGGGCGCTACTCCGCTTTGTGAGCTACCATCGCTTCCGCATGGTGTCTTTGCAGCAGATTCTGCCACTTCTCCAGAAGAACGTCTGGATGGCCACCCTCGACCTCCAAGACACATACTTCTACCTCACCATGCACCCATCCCACTGCCAATACCTACGCTTCGCAATTGGTCAACATCATTACCATATGCAGCCCTGCCATTCGGCCTTTCAAGTGCACCAAGAGTCTTCACAAAGATGATGGTGGTGGTCACAGCCTCAAGGGTATCTCCATCTACCCGTATATCGACGATTGGCTCTTGGTAGCGACTTCCAGGGACGCCCTAGTCTCAAACATCAACGAGACGCTGGTCCTCCTGGAAAACCTGGGTCTACAAGTCAATCTGGAAAAGTCTCAACTTCAACCAGTCCAGAAAATACCCTACATCGGTGCGCTACTGGACTCCACGAATTGCACAGCCTACCTGCCACAAAACAGAGCAGCCGACATCATCAACCTAGCCACTATCAGTACCCGGCCCTCAGTGACAGCCTTTCAAATACAAAGGCTACTCGGCCTCATGGCCGCTACTACATCAGTCCTGGTTTTTGCCAAATTAAGAATGCGTCACCTGCAACTATGGTTTATCCGCAATTTCAATCCAGAGAGAGACACACCCACCACCAACCTATTCCCACCTGTCAAAGTATGGGACTCTTTACTTTGGTGGACTGTTCCTTCCATCCTATTCCAGGGAGCACCCTTCCATCCTCCATCACCCCAAATTACCCTAACTACAGATGGCTCCCTCTCGGGCTGGGGCGCCCAGATGATGGGACTTTGTGTCGGAGGCAGATGGGACACTCAGAAACGGAATTGACACAATTTCCTGGAACTGCTTGCGATACAGTTCGCTGTCACCAGTTTCCTGCCCCGATCAAGGGGAAATGTGTCACGGTCCTCATGGACAATACTGCTGCCCTCAGCTATGTGAACAAGCAAGGGGGCACCGTCTCCCAACGCCTCTGCGACATC